GTAAACCTTCAGGGTGATAGCTGCTTTTGACTGATAAAGATTTATAAAGCAAACTATAAAATTATAAAACATGATTTTCAATTTAATGCAACTGTGGACTTGAAGAAACATGCAGGTCTCTGAAGGAACCCCTCAGAGAGTAGACAAGAGTTCTGAGGAGACTAGGAACGAAGGACTTTTTGAAGCAATTTATAGACCCAACGCCCCTGAGGGCAAAATGTTTGGGGCCCATGAGCTGTGTCAAGATTATCTCAGGTCCAGACTCAAGATCTATGGGAACTTTGTAGCATTCCCAGTCACTGAGAGGGGTTTTGGGGGTAGATGAGGTTGGGGCCTGGCAAGAGGGCCCCTAAGAGTGTAAGACAAGCTTCTGCTCCCTGCTCTTACTCATATTGGCACGAATGGGTTTCAGGAAAAATACCCATAGTGTAGCATGTGTCTAATGGGAAGGATTATGCAGGTATCTTTATTTAGTAAAGGCCATGCTTGTCCTGGGGAGGTGGGTTGCTTGTCAACACCCTGACCTCCATGGTCTGATTCTTCCTCTGCATGAGATGGGCTGTGCTTTTGGTGCTACTCTCTATAAAGTTTTTCCAGTTTTATTCAAAGCTTAAGAAGAGCATTCCTACGAATCCATCAGCAAGAACTGCTTTTGTCCTACCTTGCGCTCTGGAAAGTCTTTAACGAGAATCTGAAATTCTTGGCTAAGATTATAGGCTAACTGGATTTACCTAACATAATAACTCATGAAATTAGTTCATCAATCTAACACTATTGAGCACTTTCTATGTTCCGAGGCTCTGAGGACACAATAGTGAACCAAACTCCACCTTCATGGAGCTTCTCATATTGTACAGATGTCAATGCAGCTGAAATAATGGGCAATTAACCTTTTGCTTATATTTCTAATTTAAATTTTGGTTTATTCCGTCAATGGCCCCTAAACCTAGAGTTATGCCATTTTGGTTGTTAATACAATAGGATATTTTTGAGTTATACACAATTACCTTTCTCTATCAGCATTTTCATATGCTAACACCTGTGATGAATGTATGTGCCAGATCAAATATATGGATTTAGTTTTAGGGACTGAAGCAGAAACAGACTATTACATCATATATTTGCTAAATTACTTTTCATTTGGTATAGGTGGCCAGTATTTTTTTTCCTTTGCCATAATATTTGCTTTTCCTTGCAGTACTCCTAGGGTCTCCCCAGCAACGAGATGACAGCCCCCAAGTTATCATTAGAAAAATGAAAATGATTTTTTAAAAAGATTGGGAAAAAGTATAGCCATTTTTCAGATTGATTTATTGTTTCACAGCTAGGTTTTGCCATCATAGTCCTACTGGCTGTAGCATGAGAAGAAATAAAAGAGACAATTATTTTACTAGTTGAAATGACAGAATGCTAAATTGTAAAATGTCAGGGGAAAAAATTTAGGCAATTTAAATTTCCTGGCAATGGGTCTATAATTCATTTGAGGCTCAGAGTACTCTGAGCTGTGGAGAAATGCATTTTGTGGAGAAAAAAATTATACTTTTTCACTGCCTGATTTTAGTGCTCAAATTACATTTTTTTTTAAAAAATAAAGAATTGTTCTTGATTTTCAAATAGTCTAGTACAGTACCTACAAGGGAGCCTATTTGTGAGCTTTTCAAATTCCTCCCTTTATCCTCAAATAGCTTTAGTAAATTTTCTCCCTGCCTGGGATAAGTTCCATCGGTCTTTTTACCTTCAAATATTCTTGATGTCATTTATCTATAGTTTGTTAAATACTTAGAATAAGAGTTGTGATTTTACCGCTGAGTCTTGGAGGCTGACAATGCTACAGAAACTTTTTTTTTTTTGGTAATAGTTAATCTTAATTTCAAATAATACTTTAAACATGAAGCTCTTATTTTTAAAGCACTCTTTAAATATATTTTAAAAGATTTTCTTTTGTATGAAGCTATTTAAGAAACAGCTAACTCAGTGCTTACTGCATTTAGAGGACTATCCTAAACTAAGAGACATATACTAAAGAAATAATACAGTACACTTGACCCTTGAACAACTTGGGAATTAGGGATGCTGACCCTCCATGCAGTCAAAAATTCACGTATAACTTAAACTTAACTACTAATAGCCTACTGTTGACATATTAGCCTTATTGATAACGTAAATGGTCTATTAACACATATTTTATAATGTATCATATATTGTATTCTTACAAAAAAAAGTAAGTTAGAGAAAAAGGAAATGTTATTAAGAAAATCATAAGAAAGAGGAAATAGATTTGCTATTCATTAAGTGGAAAGTCTTCATCCTCATCTTCTTCACGTTGAGTAGGCTGAAGAGGAGGAAAAGGAGGAGTGGCTCTTGTTGTCTCAGGGGTGGCAGAAGAGGAAGAGCTGGAAGAGGTGGAAAGGAGGCAGGAGAGGAAGCCACACTCAGTGTAAGTTGCCTGCCTCAGCTTCATCATCTCTAAAATGGGATTATGATATAACCTACCTCGTTGGGCTGCTGTGCGGCTTCAAAGAGTTAACACATATGTAGAGCATTTAGAATATTTCCTAGGACAGTCAGCTCTCTATGACTGATCTTACCTCAGTCCTGGTGTTTTCAAACTGATTGACTAGTTTTATCTAGAGGCCTACTATCTAGTTGGAGAAGTCAAACATCCAGAAGAGGATACATAAAAAGATTTCATGACCTGGGGCAAATTAATAGGTACTGAGAGGATGTGGCATTCAGATGCTACCATAGTAAAGAAAGCAGAATCTAATTCAAGATGATGGTTAGGAATAGGCGAAAACTGAATTTAGTTTGAAAGGATAAGTAATGGCTGGGAATAGTGACCCACACCTGTGATCCTAGTGCTTTGGGAGGGCGAGGCAGGAGGATCACTTGAGGCCAGGGGCTCAAGGCCAGCCTGGGCAACAATAGTGGGACTCCCATCTCTACAAAAAATACAAATAAATTAGTCGGGTATGGTAACATGCACCTGTAGTCCTGGCTGCTGGGGAGGCTGAGGCAGGAGGATTGTGGAGAGGATTGTTTGAGTTCAAGGTTACAGTGAGCTATGATTGTGCCACTGCACTCCAGCCTGGGTGACAGAACGAGATCCTGTCTTTATTTTATTTTTTTAAAAAAATATATGTAAAGCAGGTGAAAACTGTTTGGGTGGGTATGTGAGAGAGAAAATACGGCAAAAACAAAGACCGAGAATTTTAAAGACAGAGAGTCTTTAACACATGATGTAAAATAACTAAGGACAGACAGTATGAATCTCTGGCCAAAACTGTAAACTTAGTAGAACAAAGACAGAGCCAGTGAGAAAATCTAAAAGTATGACTTCCAGTCCACTTTTATGTTTGCTACATCAAAATGAGGCAGAGGCAGGTCATACGGTTCTTTTGTCAGTCTTCTTCTCAATGTTGAACTCCTTTTAATTTTCTTGAAAGGGCTCAAGTAAAAGCAACTAAGAAAAGATAAGTCTTACATGCCTAGTGGTAATTCTCTTCTTGGGACACACTGAGATATGCTTTTAATTCTACATTTTCCACAAGGATGGCAAGATTTCAATTGAATGAATTTAAATTGTTGCATGTTTCCACTGAGGCAAAGCACACTTCTTGTATTCTTTTACTGCATTTATATAATTTGATAATTTATGTTTTTCACCCTAAATCTCAATAACAGTTTTCTACTTTTTCTTTCTTTCTGTTTCCTCCAAATAGATTAAGGAGAAAGTAAAAAATGCCTTTGTAATTGATGGATTTTTAATCTATTCTTTGTTTGTTTTTTCTTTTTTTTGAGGTGGAGTCTCGCTTTGTCACCCAGGTTGGAGTGCAGTGGCGCGACCTTGGCTCACTGCAACCTCCGCCTCCCGGGTTCAAGTGATTCTTCTGCCTCAGCCTTCCGAGTAGCTGGGACTACAGGAGCATGCCACCACGCCTGGCTAATTTGTGTATGTTTAGTAGAGATGGGGTTTCACCATATTGGCCAGGCTGGTCTCGAACTCCTGACCTTGTGATCCACCTGCCACGGCCTCCCAAAATGCTGGGATTACAGGTGTGAGCCACTGAGCCCAGCCTGTTACCTATTCTTGACAATTGTGAGAATAACTTTAATCTGCTTTTTATAATTTCAAAAGTTGCTGATTGATTGGTTTTTTAAAAAAATGGCCAGGAAGGTAAAAGTGTTTTAAAACCTCATGGTATGTCTTCAGAAGCTTGGGTTTTGAGATTTATGAAAACTAGGTAAACAGTATTTTTAAAAGAGAGGCATGGTTTTTCTCTAGAAATATTTTTAGCTAATAACTTGGTTCATTTTCTTAGTGTTTATTAGGATGTGTTCTACAGTTTCTATTATTTTCTTTTTAGAACTTGCTAAAAACAGAGAGAAAGTCTTAATTGTCCCCACTATGCTAGGTCCCTCTAGAGGCAGAACTGTTCTGACATAATTCTGTCCTATCCCTTTCTTGAGTCAGGAGTTTCCAAACTTTCGTTCTGGCAGCTAGCTCTTTCAATAGACCTACTCAGCACATAGTTGTCTCAAACCTACTTTTTCTAAAATCTGGCCACATCCCAAGATCAAAAGTTTATAGAATTTCCCCACTCTTCAATTTGTTTACATTTTATATTCATGAACCTGCCATCTGCATTTCCGCTATTTTTGAAAAGCTGAACTGGACAGTAGAGGTCAGAAGTCCCATGAACTGTCAAACTGCTATAAGCAGTCACTTCAGAACCTAAACTCAGACAAGCAAAATGGAGAAGTGAGTCTAACACACATCACCAGGTAGCAGGTTCATATGTTGTCTGTTGTGAAGGCTGGGATCTCCAGGGTTTTCATCATGCTAGGTTATCAAGGTCTGAGGTAGTGTGCTTGATAGTTTGTGGTGAAGACTATAGAGTCAGATTTTCTAGGTTCAAATTCCAGCTCTGTCACTGTTCTAGGTGTCTATCGCTATGCAACCACCACCCGGATGACAATCTTTTATTATTATCACTTACGTTCCCGGAGCCTGACTTGGCTCAGCAAGGTTTTCTCTCTAGGTCTCTCAGGCAGCGTGGTCAGTCAGAGTTCTTTCAAAAGCTCGCCAACTCACATGCCTGGTATAAGTTGTATGGCAGTAGACTGGGTCCTCAGCTGGCACCATCAGCCCGAACACCTACACATGGGCTTCCCTGTGGCTTGAGCTTCCTCACAATATGGCAGCTGGGTTCCAAAGGTGAGTGTCCCAAGGGAGAGCCAGGTGAAAACTTTGTCTCCTTTTATGACCTAGGTTTGGAAGTCACATAGCATCACATCTGCTGTATTCTATTTGTTACAATCAAATCACTAAGTCCAGACCATATTCAAAAGGAGGGCAATTAATATCCACTCTCTAATGGGAGTCTTCAAACCACATAGCCATGTATTCCCTGAAGACCTCTCTGTCCTTGGCTTTGCTGGTCTGTAAAACAAGGATAATGAGAGAAACTTACCTCACAAAGTTTTTGCGAGGATTAAACAAAGAACAGTCCCTGGTACCCAGTATGTGTTAGTTTAGGACATTATCGCACCACCTGTACATCTGAAGTGATGCTGATGGTGACATCTAATGACGGGGCAGTTCCCAGCAGATACAGTCTGTGAAGGTCCCACCTTTCCAAACTCTACTAGTGGCATTTAACAAATCCCAGCGCCTGTGGTTCTCATGCCAGTGGGAACAGTTACTATATATGGTCTGAATTCTTTAGTTCACCTCACTTTAGTGACAGTTTCCAGATACAGGTCAGTCCATTTAAAACTGTCCCATTTATGGCAATTTATTTCATTACAGGATAAAGTAGTTAGAACCATGAGTAATAATTACTGTGTCTACAGTGCTTTTAACACCTCACTCAAGTAATCCTCACCTCACCCAGTGAGTAAGTTTGAATGCGCACCCTTCCCTGTGCGGAGATGAAGAAACCAGGACCTGGGTCAAGAGGATTGTTCTAAATTCTCCAATGAGGCAATAGGGCTTGAGTGAGAAGGTGTGTGTGTGTGGGGTGTCCCGATTCTGTGGCCCCTACATGCCTGTATAATATACCCCATCACTGATCATTACTCAGGGCCAGTTAATACACTCTATTCAAATATGTATGGATATTTCAAATTTCTTTTAAACTCTCTCTCATTTATCTATAACATAAAGAATTGGCCAGTAGCTATTACCCACAATGTGAGATCAAGTAATTTAAAAGATACTAAAAGCCTTGAAAATGAAGAAACACCACACCACTCAGCATTCTTTTTTCTTTTTCTGTGAAATTAATATTTTCTGATATTCTTGGCATCCAAACATTTTCATCTTGGGGAGGAGGAAAAATTGAGACTTACTTCCACTTTTTGCCGGAATGTGCCCCCAGGCTGGCTTCGAGTTGTCAAACGTTGTATTTCTCATTTTATGTCAATAAGTCTGGAAGAAAAAAGGTAGAAAGGCTGCCTTCCGTGGGGGCCGCGACGGTCGCCCTTCCTTCCCTCAAGCCTCGTCCCATCCAGGCTCACCCCCTGTGCAGAGGGTCGGGCCGCAAATCCGCAAGGCGCGGAGGCCGCCACGACGCTCACCGGGGGGCGCTGTGAAGCCGGCACCGGGCGGCCGGAGGTGAGTCGGCTCGGAGGCGGTGGCTCCTGTTCCTGCCCGCGCGCCGAGGGGCGAATCCCAGGCAGCGAGGTCGTCGCCCCCGCCCCTCGGCCGGCCCCTCCGCCAGCGGGCTAGAGGGGAGTGGCCGGGCTCCTCCCGCCGCCGCTGAGCACTCTGCAGCCGGGTGCGCACGGGAGTCTCAACCGCGGCGCGTGGAGGCAGTGCCTGAGCGCGGGGCGCGCAGTCGGCCAACAGCCGCGGGACAGCCTTGGTCGAACAGCCGCGTCGGGAGCCCCGCAGCCCAGGGCAGGGCCCGCGTCCCGGAGCGCCACCGGAGAGCGAGGACGACGTGGAGGCGGAGTGGCGCCCGGCGAGGTAGCGCCAAGCAAGGTAGCGCGAGCGCTTTCTCTCTCCCCTGCCCTTCTCTCTGTGTCCGGCCGCGGCCCCCGAGGCGCACGCCCCGCGCCTTTGTGCCCGCGGTCCCTGGCCCGGTCCCCCCCTGCGGGCGGGGGTCAGCGGGTTCTGCCGCTGTCTCGGGGGAGGCGGCGCTGCGGCGGGAACCGCGCACGCTGTAGGTCGCGGAGGGTGGTCGTGGCTCCGCAGTGGCTTCGGGGGTGGCGGGAGGGAAGAAGGGCTTGTAAACTAAGTTGCTCGCTCTTTGCCACATGCCTCTCGTACCTGTGGGGAGAGTGGAATCTCGGCTGTCCTCGTGTTCACCCACAGCCCCTCCATCCCTGTGGCCCACAGCTGTTTCCTGGCTTCCTGGAAAGACACGGTGTGGCTTCCTCCGGGCAGGAAAGCGGAGGGAGAACAATGGGGCGTCCTGGGGAGTGGGGTTCAGGTGCGGTGTGCCCCGGCGGCGGCGGGGGAGGAGGGGCCCGGGACAATGTGGGCCTCCCTGCGCGTGCAGCTGCGCTCGCCTCCTTTGTTCCGCCGCAGCGGAGGGGGTTGCCCTGGGTCTCGTTTCCTGCCCGGGATGGGATTGATTCACGGTCCCAGAGAGGGAAGGAGAAGGGGGCGGGGCTGGAATGGAAAGCAGATTAGAGACCGGAGCCACGAAGGGTGCTGGGACCGGGAAGAGACTTGGGGAGAGGGTTGGGAGAGGGTGATGAGAGCGCGCTGGAGAGGTAATTGCAAACACACAACATTTTGTTCAAGGGCCCTGTGAGTTTCTGGAGCTTATTTGTAGCGCTTTGTTCAGGCTTCGGCCCAACGTTTGTTGCTGCAACAAGTTGTGTGCTTCTTGAGTTTCTAGGCGCTCCCAATGTTAGATTGCTCAAAGCAACTCTTGTTAATTACAGTGAAAGAAGCCCTCCCCCCCCCCTTTTTTTTTTTGAGAATTGAAAAAATTTTGCTATGAACTATTATGGTGTGTATGTGTGTGCCTCTGGGTCTGTGTGTGTAGCTAGTGGATATTGGCTGGAATGGATAGGAGACAAATTTTATAGAATCAATTTTGACATAATTTTTTTTAATAGTATAATATAGTACAACAGTTTTCCAGGACTATTTGAGGGCAGAAACCACCAGAAAATCAGACATTGCTATAAATGAATCAGACTATGTAACACAATTGAAAAACACTTTTACAGTCTGTCCCAGAAAACACACCACACACACCAGCGTTTGGGGTTTGAACTGAGGAGCCCTGGCATTCAAGTGTTCTGTGCTTTCACTCTCTGTGTGAGGATCATTTAGAGGTGGTAGAATTAAACGTAATATGTCAGACATTTGTTAAGCGACCCTTTCCTAGATTGGAATCGAGAATCCCCCAAAGGATTGGCTGACGTGGGGAGGAAGCTATGGGGGATTGAATGATGTGTGTTTTTTGAATGGGGTATTCCAAGCAAAACTGTTTTGGGAGGAGGCTGACATTTCCAGGCATTCATGGTTTGTACCTATGGGACACTGGTGGAAGGATTCCCAAAGTCGGACTGAAGGTTAGAATTACTGTGGTGATAATTTAGGAGACATTCTGTTGTAGTAGTCTGGCTGCAGACAGGATTGGGAAGTGGCCCAGAGCTGCCTCTTTGACAAGCTGAGGGTCCGCCATTAAATCACCCCTTTGGCCATTTATTTTGAGATGAACCGAGTTTGAAAGCCTCTTAACCTGAGAAGGCGAATTAGGAGCTTGCTGTGGGGGGAAAAAATGTCTCCTGCCCACTAAATGGTAATGGAAAAGAGCTGTGTAAGCTACTGCTGAGGGTTTGTCTTTTTCGTGGGGGATGTGGTCAAATTTTCAGGCCAGGCTGAAAAGCACTGGGACTTGTCCTCAGGAGCCATTATGATGTGAAGTTGAAGTGGGATGGTGTCCAACCGTCAAGCTGTTTGTCATTAGAACTAACACACTGCCTGGCAAAACGTGCTGGGGCAGCTAACAGAGGGAGACTTGTTTTGTTGTTGTCTTACCATTTTGGACTTTTCACTTATGCTGTGAATTGTTTTATAAAATACAACACAATTGAATTCCTCTCAAGTACTCATTGTTCTATACATTAACAAAATGTAAAGCATCTGAACACTGCCACTACTGGAGTTGCGGACAGACAGCAGAATCCTAAGTGGCTGGTCTCTGGTCTCTGGCCTCTGGCCATTCCGGTGGATGCCTGATTGTGTGATAAGGCTGGCAACAGGCTGTACCCCCTTCCCAGGATGAATCATCACTTTGTCAAGCCTGGAGTTAAAGACTAACTTTCCCTGATCGCTGCACAGTTATGCAAAGCAAGGAGGAACGTCTGACATCATGGGGAAGAAGAGGGAGTGAGGTGGGTGGGTGGTGTTTGGCTAAGAAGAGATCTCCAGCATGTAGCATCCATGTTTTTAGCATTTGTCCTCCTTTGGGTAAGATTGTCGTCTCATCTATCTCCCTTCTACTGTTTTCAATAGCTGAACATTTGGATTTTTTGTTTTGTTTTGTTTTGAGACGGAGTCGCGCACTGTCGCCCAGGCTGGAGTGCAGTGGCGCAATCTCAGCCCACTGCAAGCTCCGCCTCCCGGGTTCATGCCATTCTCCTGCCTCAGCCTTCCAAGTAACTGGGACTACAGGCGCCCGCCACCACGCCCGGCTAATTTTTTGTATTTTTAGTAGAGACGGGGTTTCACTGTGTTAGCCAGGATGGTCTTGATCTCCTGACCTCGTGATCTGCCCTCCTTGGCCTCCCAAAGTGCTGGGATTACAGGCGTGAGCCACTGCGCCTGGCCGAACATTTGAATTTTAATTAGCCTAACAATAATTAGAGCTATCATTTAATATGTGTTCATTATGTGCCAAGAATTTTACATACATTTACTATATTCATCATCACAACAACTTGATAAAGTGGGTGTTATCTCCATTTTCCAGTGGAAACTGAGGCCTGGAGGAGTTAAGTAACTTGCCCCTTACACCGTACAGAAGCTCCTAGATTTACAATGGGGTTATGTCCTGATAAACCCATCATAAGTTGAAAATATTGTAAGTTGAAAATTCATTTAATACACCTAACGTACCGAACCTTTAATGTGTCCGGAACAGTTACATTAGCCTAGAGGTGGGCAAAGTCATCTGGTAACACGGTCCACTGTAAAGTATTGGTTGTTCATCCTTGTGGCTGTGTGGCTGACTGGGAGCTGCGGCTCACTGCCACTGCCCAGCATTGCGATAGGGTATCATACTGCATATGGCTAGCCCCAGAAAACATCACAATTCAAAACTCTAAGTACGATTTCCACTGAATGCCTATCATTTTTGCACCATTGTAGAGTCAAAAAATCCTAAGTTGAACCATTTTAAATTGAGGACCATCTGTGCTTGTGTAGCTAACTAGAAAGTGGTAGAAGTGTGATTTGGAATTCCAAAGTCCATACTCTTTAGGTATATACTGTATGCTATGATATGTGTTAATAATAGGAATAACAACAGTTTGATTATCTAGTTGATTAGCCCTTGGCAGATTTCAAATTACTTTCACATCTATTATTGATTCTTCCAAAAACCACTGTGAGATAGGTTTGGAAGGCCAGGTTAGGACATTACAACTCTTAGAACTGTATTGCTAAAGAGCTGTATGTTATGGCCTGTGTGAATAAGCTGTAAGTGAATGAAACTTTATTTTTAAAAAGTTAGGCTGCCAACATTTAAAAATAAGTTCTTTTTTCCAAACATTAAAAGTGGTAGAACACAGTAGATCTTATATTGCATTCAAGGCTTTTATGTTTATTGAAATCCATTTTAAGCCCTTTTTTATCTTACAGCCTTTAATAGAACATTGCACTTTGCTTCTTAACTGAGACCCAATGCCAGAGTGTCTTTTTAAGAAGAGAAATAAGGAGGGAAGGAATGTGCTTATAAAGAGGAAGTGGGACATCAGAATTGGAAACACTCGCAGCAGCAGGCCGTAGATTTTTCTCAGCACATGCTTTTTGTCCTGGCAGTAGCCTTTTACAGAAGACATTCTTCCTTAGGGAAGTGTCAAGGGTCTTTCTGTACAATATCCTCTGAGATCATCAACTTTCTGAGCTCTGTGGGAACACATATTCTGCATGATTTTTGTGCTCATCCCTTCCCCACAGGGGAAGTAAACTAGTTTAGGCATCTGCATGAAAAGGGAATAGCAGTGGTGTCTGTCCTTAGGGTGGCACTGACAGTGGCACTGGGCAGGAGGTACCAGACCTTGACACCAAGTACAGGAGCAGAATGGAGTTTAACACTTGGCATCATGGATTGTTTGTGAATTCCTCAGAATGCTCCTGGGCAAATGGAAAAGTCAATATTGGGTTTTTTGTTTTGTTTTGTTTTGTTTCTAAGATAAGAATTTGAAGACTGGAAGTTCTGCCTTGTTTATTTCAAGCTAGGACACCATTTGGGGTCTTCTCAGGTTTTGTGGTATAGGTGACAGTAACTTTAGTCTCCTCGGGCAATGAAATTCTCCTCCACTGGCTGTTTTAGACGTTTGCCTCTGAAGGAGAGGCAGACACATGGTTTGCTAAACTCTAGCA